TATTCCAGGGGGCCAAACAAACCCAGGGGTGGGGTGGTGGTGGAATCGAACTGTCTGAAGAGAGGGGGGATACGTGCGGTATGGTGTAAGATGTGTGGCGATCCGTCTTTCGACAAACCGCTGCCCACAGGCCTGCGGCACTGGGCTGATGTGTGGCACAAGCAATGTGATGCAAGCTACGTGGTGCAAGCTGTTCCCGAATCGCCCGTCGCGTTGGATAGATCTTTCGGGTATGGACAGACCCCCCTTTAGTAAAACGTGACTTAGTGAAAACGACCTGAGGCCCAAACCTGGCGGGCGCAAGCCTGGAAAATTACGGCCACGGCACCCTCTCGAGAACCGAAAACGGACAATTCACAAATCGACGTGTCACTGTTGGGGGTTCTGTCCACCCCCGAATCTTGCGGAGGTGAACATCCGCCACGCCTGCTTTGCGCCGGCGGCTGGGCAGAGGGCAACGGCGCTGGCGAAAGAGGAGCTCACGAAACGGGGGCACCGCCGTAGTGAGTTGTGCCACACACTGCAAGACGGAGTGCAAACGGGGAGGGCGGGCGGCCAAAGGAGGAGGAGGAGGGAGGAGGGAGGAGGAGGAGGAGGAGGAAGGAGGAGGAGGGAGGAGGAGGGAGGAGGAGGGAGGAGGAGAAAGGAGGAGGGAGGAGGAGGAGGAGGGAGGGGGAGGAGGATGAGGAGGAGGAGGGGGGGAAAAAGGCGAGGGCCGCTCGGGGGGACGAGTCGCGCCCGGAGCGAGTGGCGCGGCCAAGCCCGTCGCACAGAAGACCCCCTAGGGGGGGGGCGGGGAGCCCCCCCGGAAACCGCTCCCGGACAGGCGTCGCGCTTGAGGCTTCTGCACGACGTCTCTGCAGGAGCCTTGCTCTCGCCTCAACGATGGCTGCACGTCGTTCATGTCTAATCGTGCTCATTTCTAGGTGTGCTCGTTTCTAAGTGTTCCTGGCCCCCTTAGTGGCCAGGAAGAGGCCCAGGATAGAAGAACTAGACATGAAAGGATCTTGGCCCCCCAAAAAATCAAAGAACTCTCGAAAAATCAAAAATGATCCATGTGTACACTGTTGGTCGTGACGAGCACGATCCCTAGTAACAGAACTACGCTGCAGTGAACCCGTATCGCAAGGAGGCGCGATAAGGGCCTTGGAAGGCCATGTCGGAGCTTTCCGAGCGGGGCGCGGCCAACGAAAGTGGCCAAGGATGGACCCAGGAGGCAAGGACGCAAGGGTACCCTTGGGAAAGTTGCCCACCCTTGCCATGCTTGTGGATGCCACGACAATGGACACCCCAACAGCCCTACCATTGAGCATAACATGTGTTTTGAATGTCGAACACATGTTGAAAACATGTTCTAAACATGTGCTAAACATGCTTAGAACATGTTAAACACATGTTTGTAGACACCTGGAAACGATTTGGCAACACGCTTCCTCTCCATTGACCGCCCTCCACAGACTGTACGGCACACGTGGCCGTGCTCTCACCCCTGCCACGCCTCGGGGCCTGTCGGAGCACGCAGGAGCGCACGCTCTCACGAGCCACCCCTCCGACTCCTCGAGTCGCCTCTTCGCCTCTGCTGCTGTCAGAGTTAAGTCGGGCCTGTCCCTCTGCAGGGGGATTTCGGGCGGAAAATCAAACTCTTTTTTTTGATTCGCGGGTCGAGAGCGAGCCTCTTCCGGTCGAAGCTAAGCGGGCCGCGCACAGCTTTAAGCGGAAAATCAAACATACCCCAGAAATGAGCCAAAAATGTTCAAAAATGTTTGAACAATCGTCCCGAGGCAATTTTTTACTATTTTCGAATATTCTCCCTGTAGAGGGACAGGCCTGCGGGGCGTGAAAACGACCACGGCCACTGCTTTTCTTTTGTTTCCGCCCTCCAGCCAGCAGAAACAAAGCAGTGGCTGTGGTCATTTTCGCTAAGCTTGGCGCCAAGGAAATGACCACAACCACTGCTCCTTTTCCGGCCGGCTGGAGTTAAGTCGGGCCTGTCCCCCTACAAGGGGATTCTGGGCGGAAACTCAAACACATACCCCAAAAATGAACCGAAAATGCTCAAACATGGTAGAACAATCGTCCCCAGACAATTTTTTACTATTTTCGAATACTCTCCCTGTAGAGGGACAGGCCTACGGGGCGTGAGAACGACCACAGCCACTGGTTTTCCTTTGTTGCCGCCTTCCAGCCGGCCGAAACAAAGCAGTGGCCGTGGTCCTTTTCGTTAAGCTTGGCGCCAGGGAAAGGACCACAACCACTGCTCCTTTTTCGGCCGGCTGGAAGGCGGCGCACACAAGAGGCAGTGGCTGTGGTCATTTTCCCGTCCCGCAAGGCCCGACCCCTCCGACTCCTCGAGTCGCCTCTTCGCCTTTGCTGCTGTTAGAGTTGAGTCGGGCCCCCTACAAGGGGATTCTGGGCGGAAAAAATCAAACATATACCCCCCCAAAAAAGAAAGTGTAGAAAAATCGTCCCCAGACATTTTTTTTACTATTTTCGAGCATTCTCCCTGTAGAGGGACGGGCCCGACTTCCTATTGGAGTGCTCTGCTCGGGCCGCCGTGGGCGCAGGCCGTGTGCCGCCAAGCCTGCGCGCGCCGCACGGCGGCGCACGGGGCGCCCACGCACGCGGCACCCGCACGGGCGGCCGCAAGAGCGGGGCACCGGGCGAGGCCTCGGCAGAGCCGCTCGGCGTGCGACGGTGGACAAACCTCCCTTTAGAAAAAAACACACTGTTGGAAACAAAAACACACTGTTGGATAAAAACACACAAAAAAAACACGCACGGTTGGGGAAAAAACACACACACACACAGTTGGAAAAAACACACACACACTGTTGAAAAAACACACACACACACACTGTGTGTTGTTTCAACCGTTTTTTCCAACAGACCTCGGCGTGCGACGTGCCCACGAGGCGCCGCCGGGTGACCCCAAGCGGGCACCGAGCGAGATCGCCGCTGACGACGACGATGATGATGATGGTGATGACGACGATGGTGATGGGGATGATGGTGATGATGATGATGGTGACGATGATGATGATGATGCTGATGATGGTGATGATGATGGTGATGATGGTGATGATGATGATGGTGATGGTGCTGATGATGATGATGCTGATGCTGATGATGATGATGATGATGATGATGATAGTAGACCTCCCCAAAGTGAAAACGGCCTGGGACCGAAACCGACGGATCTGGACCAGCAGAAATGACGGCCGCGACGGCCTCTCGCGAACCGAAGACGGCCAATTCCTGGATCGACGTGTCAGGGTAGGAGGTCTGTCCAACCCCGAAGCGCGCGACGTGCCCACGCGGAGCCACCAGGTGACCCCACGCGGGCACCGAGCGAGGTCGCCGCTGACGACGACGACGATGGTGATGATGATGATGATGATGATGATGATGATGATGATGATGATGATGATGATGATGGTGATGGTGATGGTGATGGTGATGATGATGATGATGGTGATGATGATGATGATGATGATGGTGGTGACGACGATGGTGATGATGATGATGACGACGACGACGGTGATGATGATGATGATGATGATGATGATGATGATGATGATGATGATAGTAGACCTCCCCTTAGTGAAAACGGCCTGGGGCCGAAACCGACGGATCCGGACCCGCAGAAAGGACGGCCGCGGCGCCCTCTCGCGAAGCGAAAGCGGCCAATTCCTTTGATCGACGTGTCAGGGTAGGAGGTCTGTCCAACCCCGGAGCGTGCGACGTGCCCACGAGGCGCCACCGGGTGGCCCCAAGCGGGCACCGAGCGAAATCGCCGCTGACGACAACGACGACGGTGATGGTGATGATGATGATGATGATGATGATGATGATGATGATGATGATGATGATGATGATGATGGTGGTGATGATGATCATGATGATGATGATGATGATGATGATGATGATGATGATGATGATGATGATGACAATGATGATGATGATGATAATAATGATGATGATGATGATGATGGTGATGATGATGATGATGATGATGATGATGATGATGATGATGATGATGGCAGTGGTGAAGGAAGAGAGGGGAGGACGGTGAGAAGGGGTTCCTGCGTGGTGTGCCCACAGAGAACAAGTGGGGAAAGCTGAACTCAAGATGGTCTTCATGTCAGCGCCTTGACTGCACCGATTTGCGAGGCCTCCCAGGTAGTGTCGGAGAAAATGGGTCGGAGGATCGCGCTGTATCGCCGATGCGCCAGCGACGTCGGTGTGAATCCATCCGCATCGCCGATGCATTGCCGATGCATCGGCGATGCATCGGCGATGCGGGGCGATCCTCCGACCCCATCTTCTGAGACCATTTCTCGGGGAAACCAGAAGGTACCGATCCCACCAGGATTTCGAGGCGGATCCAGCGGTGGCGACGAGGGCCTCCTAGGAGGCCCAAGAGTGGGAAAACGGGCGGGGGGTAGAGGTATGGGTACCTTTTCCTCCTCTGATTTTTGGGAGGCCCAAAAACTTGCGACCGAACGTTCCACACAGACCCGCCGGGTCGCCGGGCGCGGGGTTGAGCAGGGACCGGCCGTCCCGGCATTCCTACAATCCTACCACGACATGTTCTTAGAACCCAACAAATGTTCAAATAACAAAATACTCTTAGCACATAAGCCAGATGTGTTCAAACAAGACAGCCTCCGTCAGAAATGTTCTAAGAACAGTTCGTGGAAACCACAAAAGGTTCTTAGAACATTGTTTGGTAGGGCTACAATCGGCTACACGTAAGAGTGATCCTGGGCAAGAGTGACCTTTGGTGCGCGGCTTTTGGGGGGCCGCGGGGAGGCCAAATCCAGGCGCGTTAGCCGCTGCTGCCGCTTCGCGTTCGGCCACCTGGGGGCCCATCTGCGCCCGCACCAAAGGTCACTCCGGCGAAAGGTCACTCTTACGTCTAGCCGATACAATCGAGCCAAGACGCCTCGCCACTGCTTGACACTCAGACCCGCCGGGTCGCCGGGCTCGGGGCGCGCCGCCTGCTTCAGCGAGGGCGGTTTCGCGGACAGCGGCCGGCCCGCCGAGGACATGTACGTGCTCCCGGACCTGGCGGCCCGCCGGGGCGACGACGACGGAGACGACGTCGACGACGCCGACGACGGCGAAAATGACGACGACGCGCGATGGACGACGCACGACGACGACGACGACGCACCACGGACGACGACGACGACGCACGACGACGACGACGACGACGACGACGACGACGCACGACGGGCGACGCGCGACGCACAACGACGACGACGCACGACGGACGACGACGGCGACGCACGACGACGAAGACGACGACGCCAGACGGACGGAGGACGTCGATGCACGGGCGACGAAACGACGACGACGGCGGCAGGGCCGACGGCGGGAGGCAGGGCCGACGGCAGCGCGGAAGCGGGCCCCAAGCGGACGGGGGAGGACGGCCCCCGGCCCTGGGCCGTCGTCGCCGTCGCCGTCGCCGTCGCCGTCGCCGTCGCCGTCGCCGTCGTCGTCGTCGTCGTCGTCGTTGTCGTCCTCGCCTGCTCGTCGTCGTCGTCGTCGTCGTCGTCGTCGTCGTCGTCGTCGTCGCTGCCGCCGCCGCCGCCGCCGCCACCGCCGCCGTCGTCGTCGTCGTCGTCGTCGTCGTCGTCGTCGTCGTCGTCGTCGTCGTCGTCGTCGTCGTCGTCGTCCCGCGGGCCCAAGAAGCGCCGAGATCGGCGGGCCCAGCGCGCGAGCGGGACGGGGCGTGGGAAATCGTTGGGCCTGCGGGGAGGTGAGGGGCTTCCCAGCGCCAGGGATTGGGTGGTTGGCTGTGGGAGGCAAGGCTCTGCGCACATCCTGTGAAACATAGCATAGCCACAGCCACGGCATAGCCCCCAGGTGGGGTTCCTGTTCCACTAATGTGCGCTACGGTGGTTCGAGAAAAGTGGGAAGCACTTGCATGGCACATAATCTTGCGAGGGTGTCAACACATTCGTTCCATGTGTTCGCAACATGACCATGTACATGCTGGAAAGCAAGTGTACTTACACGAGCGCGCACACATTGTGTCAGACTGACGAGCAATAGCTGGGTAGAGCATAAGGCACCTCTGACATATCCTCCCTGATAGACTCTGAACCCATCCATATTGTCAGTGAGCAAGCTGGTAGAGAGTGGACTGAGGGAGGACTGCATGACCCATGCCATGGCCCCAATGGCGGCTTCCAATTCAGCCCTCGGCGGGGTGAGCGGGTCGCGTGCTTCCCAGCCTGTGAGTGGTCCTGCCAAATGTCCCAGCAACGTGACACCTAGCGCTGAAACAGCTATGGTGCAGAGCGCCCAAGCTGGTCCGCAAACTTGTCCATGGTGGTTGTACCCTCCTGCCGTCGCATCCGTGTAGATTTCCAACCGTGTATATTCAAAGCTGGGATCATACTGGATGAGACCTGGAAGCGCCTGAACAGAAGACGAATGCCAGTATGGGGCCCACGACAGGAGGTCCCTCGAGGGTTGCACGGGCCAAGGGCGCTCAATGAGCTCTTGGGTGTGTCGGAAGTCAGGGATAGGCGATCGCTGAACTCCCCTGGAGGTCCCAACAGGGGACCGAGTGGGCAACTTAGCACTTAAAGCATGCAAGCCACGCTCATGTAACAAGTGGTCCTCTGTTGTGTTAGCTGGCGTCGGATGCTTTACAGAGGCAAGCTGGGGGGGGGGACAGATGGGACCTGAGCGAGCGCGACTGGATTTTCAACAGGGCGCGCTTCGAGCCCAGCCGAGGCTAAGATTGAGTGGGCGGGTTGGCTGCCACGCGAAACACTGACTTCTGGCAGTCTGGGCTGTCAACTCCGCTCAGTGCTGCCATGTCCGTCTCATCTTCGCCTGGTGCAATTTCATGTGGCTCCTCTGGTCGCGTGTGCATGGAGCCCATCGCCATCTCGTCACTGATCTTGACCTGCTTGGGCGGGGCCTGGCCTGAGGAGCGTCTGGGAGAAGTAGACCTGGGTCGATTTGCTGCAACGCCTTGGGCAAAAGCTCCCTCCAGGCGCCTGCGTCCCTCTGCACGTGCATCATGGGGGGGCTGATTTGTGTTTGTCCCGTCTGGTCGTAGGAGTGGTTGGCGTCGGTGGTGCTTGGAGTGTTTGTATATGGCGTTGGAGTTCTTCTTGGTCGGCCTTCCTGTTCAGGCTGACGTCGGGGAGCTGCTTCTGGATGTCCGTCATGGCCGTCTTGAACTCAAGGAGCTGGGCCAGCAGTACTTGCTGTGAGTGCTGCATGGTCGCGAGCAGCCCTGGTGTAGAAAATTCGGATCTCGAGTCCGCTGAGCCCGAACATGGTGCAGCTCCAGGCGGGAGACTGGTGGTCGGCGTGCTGGGCGAGCGTGTGCCAGCAGGCGTAGCGGGGCTGGTAGCGCCTCCACTTGGCGTTGCTGGCCACTCGGCACGTGACCGAGGCGCACATGCTGTTGCAAGGGGCGCCTCGCCAGAATCTTCTTCACCATCCTCGCCCATGTAGTCCGAGGCGCGTGGGCGCCGACGGTGCGCCGCATCGGCGCGAGCCTCGGCCTGCTTGCGCTCGCTGTCCTGCTTCTCGTTGTCTTCCAGGTTTCTGAAGTGCTCGAGAAGGTCTTCTGCATGTGCAAGCTCTACGTGTAGTGAATGCACTTGTGCAACGCATGAGTCCAGGTATAGCTGCGCCTCCGTTTGCAGCTGTGTGGCCTCCGTCAGTCTGCGCTTGGCGCGGCTGGCGAAGCTGAGCTGCTTGGCCGTGCTGGCGGAGGCCGTGCGGGAGTACATGAGCTGGTAGAGCACGACCGCGCATTCGTGGCGCAGCGCCTGCACCTGTGCCTCGTCCATCTTGAGCTCCTGTGAGCACTTGATCTGTCGCTGGAGGCCCTCCAAAGCGGAACCTAGAGCTTTCCTGTATTCTCCTAACTCCTGCGGGCTCTCGGGAGGCTCCTGCCAGCGCCTGTGGGCGCGGGCCTCCTCCGGAGAGCATGGCAGGATGTTCATCAGCTCGTCCTCCTCCGTGGCTGCACTCTGTGTCGGGCGGCGCGAGCTGGAACGCTTCCACGGTGGTGACGTCATTGTTTGGTCTGCAGCGGGCTTGGACGCTGGCTGCATCGGGTGGCACTTCTCGCACTTGGTCATCTCCCACTTGTTGGGGTGATGCATGCAGGGCGTTCCCATAGGTAGCGATGTTGACTCTGCTGGTGCCCCTGCCATGGAGCTCGGCGGCGGGATGGTTGCCTCGAGCGCGCAGGCTGACTGCGCTGTGTTCTCCACGTCATACTGCTGTGATGCTGTTTGAGAAGTTCGGTGGCGGCGATCACGCGTAGCAGGGTCCTGGCCCTGCCGCGATCGGCTCTGGCGCGACGATGCCAGGCCGGTTCGCCTCCTGCTTCACGGCTGACCCTCCTGCCGCGCGCCGTGGCGGATGAGGCGCGGGGGGGGGGTGCACATGAAGGGACAGGAGTCAGGAAGCAGAGCCAAACGAGTTGAGAAAAGAGGGGTCCGTCCGAGGACCCCTCGCGCGCGCGCGCTCGCCGCGCGGCGCGAAGGCGCGCGCTGGGCGCTCCGAGAAGAGGGCGGAGGAGGAAGAGGGGGAGGAGGAGGAGGAGGAGGAGGAGGAGGAGGAGGAGGAGGAGGAGGAGGAGGAGGAGGAGAGGAGGAGGAGGAGGAGGAGGAGGAGAGGAGGAGGAGGAGAGGAGGGAGGAGGGGGAGGAGGAGGAGGAGGAGGAGGAGGCGGATGAGGAGGAGGAGGAGGAGGAGGAGGCGGAGGAGGAGGGACACTGCCGACGTGGGCCGCGGGAGGGCATGGGGTGGGTCCGGATGGCAACCGCTGCTCAAGCCTCGGACTCACTACGCACCGTGCTGCACCAAGACAGAATCTCAAATGGGATTCCGATCTGGAACTTCTTCTCAGCGTGTCGCGGCGGCGGCCACGGCGACACGCTATAGCATGCGAGCGGGTAGTGTGTCGCTCCTCTGCGCGGGGCGGGAGGCGGGGAAGCATCGGAGCGTCGACGCCTGGGGACGGGCACGTGGATGGCGTGTCGCGCCGAAGCGTGGTGGGCCCCGAACCGGCGGCGTGACACGATGAGCCAAAGTTCCTGACCACAAGCCGAGGGGAGGCACACACACACGGAATTGGATGTTCTGGCGGGGCTGCAAGCGGGGTGACGGCGATCAGGCCATGAGCGACGGTACCCGGGTGGCGGGCGGGGGAGAGGAGCGAAGAGAGCGAGCTCCTCGCGCGTGAATGAATTCTGCTGCTGCCCTTCCTCTTCTGCATCCTTCTGCGCCACTGGCTTGGGTGTCGCACTGCCCGCGTTGCTCGTCCTGCCCTTGGTGCCGGCGCGCGCGCGAAGCCCCGCCCCGCCGACCTCAGGCCCGTGCGCGTGATCTGGCTGAGGTCGGTGACCTTGCGGATGCATCAGGCACATACGGTAAGAGATCTTGCTGTAATGATCGGGCTGGGCAAAAGGCGGGGATAGCAAAGGAGGTGTTTGAGAATCAGCTCACGCAGCTGGTTTTCCCGGCGCCTCCCGGCGCCGGGAGGCGCCCATGTATCGAGAAATGGGCCCCTCGGTGGGGCCGAAACCAGCTGTATGCATTAGATTTCGTACCCCCCCCTTTCCCAATCCTTCGGCCCGAAATAATGCTGGGGCGTATTCTTCGTCGATGTTTGAAGGTCCTTCGGCGCCTCAAGGCTTCTGCGGGTCCCAAGGGCCATCAGGGGGATATACTGGAGTTCTGTGGGGCACCTGCTAGCAGGCCGATGTCTTACCCAATGTGCCTGATGTGGCCCTCACGTGGCCCCGATCGGCTCGGGGTTAGGAGGCAACTACTGGGAGGTTTCGTCGGAAAGATTAAGGAGGATGAAGCCCCATTTGGGAGCTGTTACGCCGGAGTGGGCCTCGGACTAAGCAGGATCAAGCCAGATTAAGCGGGATTAAGCGGGATTGAGCCAGACTAAGCGGGATTGAGCCGGATTTTGCCGGATTAAGCCGGATTCTGGACCAGGGCAAAATCAGAATTTGACCCCCCAGGAGTTGCATCCGAATCGGAGTGTGCGACAGGTGGGTTAGCGAGAGGGGGGAGCGAATCACCTACGCGCAGCTGTGAAACCCGCGCGGAGCCGGGAGCGACCGTCGAGGCAGCAGCCGAAACCCGCTTGATGCAGCAGCTGGCGTCCCTCGAGCTCGCAAGCCCTTTCCAAGCCCTGCCCTTTCGGACTGGACTGTCCGATCAGTCTCAAGCAGCCCTTGCAAGGGGGCGGGCAACGCAACGGATCAAGAGGACCAACCAGACACCAGGCACGCACAAAGTATGGAGCGAAGGCGGCTGCATTGCCGAACTGCGAGTTGCGCTAACTCGGCCGAACAAGGGAGATCCGAGGCAAACGCACTGGTGAACGACGACGACGACGATGAAGGCGAAGGGTCCTACTCCAAATCCCTTATTAATCGCCCCCTGGGTCAAGTTTTTTAAGGCGACTTTTTTGTAACTGGGGGGGGTCCGGTTTATTAGGGCGCTCTCTCTGAATTGGAGCTTAGGGGGTCCGGTTTATTCAGGCGCCCCGTCGAAGAGGGGGTCCGGAATATGAGGTCGCATTTGGAGGGGGGTCCGGTGTCTTAGAGGGGGGTCGATTCATAAAGGATTTGGGATACTTACCTACCCGGTGGCCTCTGACTCGTACTGCCCGGGCCACCGGCACGCAGGGTATGCGGGATAGGGCGCGCTCGGCGCGACTGCAACCAATTGCAGAAGCAGTGCGCATCTCTTAAGAATTCGGGATCCAACATCGAGTGGGTGACCCTGAGGGGGGGGGCCCGAGTTCGATCCGTTGGTGCACCGAACTGCCGCAAACAGATGCCCCCCGCATGCCCCACCGATCGGCAACTCTCGGGAGCTGCCGGCGGCTGGGGGGGCACCCGTCCTGGGCAGTTCGGTGCAGCAGCCGATCGAACTCACACACCCCCAGGGCACACCCCCTCGGCAGCGGGGGGGTGCATTACTTTCCACAATGCTGCGGTGGTGCAGTCAACCTGTCGCCGTCCTCCGCGTCGCCCCCCGCCTCCTCCCCCTCCCCGAGTCTCCACCGCCAAACGAAGATGATGTGCACAATGATTTCACGTCCGCCAACTCTCCTGGCCCTTCCACCAATTCGCCGGGGACGGAAAGTCCACCATGCATTTCCTATTTGCGTCGCAGCAGCTCTGCCCTAATGCGCGAATGGCCGATGCTTCGCTTCCAAGGCTCAAGCGCCGTGACCGAGCGTCCGCGTCCCTTGTGCCTGGAGTTGCGTCGGGCATGTCCCCCTACAGGCGGATGTCGGAAGAAAACTAGAAAACAGCCAGAAACAATTCAAACATGCACAAAAACCACGAACAATCGTCACCAGACCATATTGCACCATTCTGGAATATCCCTCCTGTACACGGACATGCCCGACTGAAAGACTGGAGTCGACAGAACGTCGAGCGAAACCCAGACATTCCGCGCTAGGACCTGTCGACGCAGGGGCCTGCAGGACCTCTCGACCATTTCCTCAAGGGCCTGTGTTTCGCTCGAAGCCGTTGCTGTCACGGCCTCGTGGCCAGGAGCTGGGCTAAACGTGACGACACACCGGCCGCTCCTACGAGGAAGACAGACCTGTACAGACATACGTAAACTTCCGGATGTCCGATTCGGAGGCCGCATGCGAAGCCCATCCCAACCCCCCCACGACTTCTGAGGGGGAAGGTGGGGCTCACTTCGTTCGGGAGGTCCCGAACGGAGTGAACCCCACCGAGCGGAGTGAGTCCCACCTCCCCCCTCAGAGATCGTGGGGGGGTGGGGTCGGGTTCGCACGTGGCCTCTCACCGATGTCCGCGCTTGAGCAGGGACCGGCCGTCCCGGCATTCCTATAGTCCTACCACGAGATGTTCTCAGAACCCCAAGATGTTCTAAGAACACAAACCATGCTCTTAGAACATTCGCCCGATGTGTTGAAACAAGACGGTCTCAACCACACGTGCTCTGAGAACATTCCGTGCAGACCAGGAGAGGCTCTTGTAACATTCTGCGGTGCGCCTGTAGGCGAGCCCAGACGCTTCGCCACTGCTTCACGCGCGGACTTCCTGGACCGACGCCGGGACCCCCCCCCTCGCCCCCGGCGCACGGGGCGCCGCCAAGGGGGGCCCGAGCGCCGAGGCCCAAGAGAGACCCGCGCGGCGCTGCGGAGGGCTCGCGCTGGTGCAGAGGCCCCAGCAGCCGCTCGCGCTGCGCCCGCAGGCTTACTCCAAGTCCCTTCTTGATCGCCCCCCCCCCCAAAAAAAAAAACGACCCCCCCTCCAAATGCGGCCTAACCTTCCGGACCTCCTCTTCGACGGGGCGCCGGAAGAAACTGGACCCCCGAAGCTCCAATCCAGAGAAAGCGCCCTAATAGACCGGACCCCCCCAGTTACCAGAAAGGCGCCTTAACAAACTGGACCCGGGGGGCGATCAACAAGGGATTTGGAGTACCACCCGTGGACTCGCACATGTGTTGCTGCTGAGCTGCGGGAACGCGTGCTTGTGCAGAAATCCCATCAGCCGCTCTCGCTGCGCCAGCAGGCTTACCACCCGTGGACTTGCACAGATGTTACTGTCAGACTCCTTGGTCGGTGCTTCAAGACGGGTCGACTCGAACCAGTTAGTCGTCGTCTCTGTGTCAGGGAGATGCCAGAGTCACCAAGGTCTCTCGCCAGTGGCAAGCCAACACGAGCTTCCAAAATGCCCAGGACACTGCAGCTCTTCTGGCCCATAGAGCCCGACGCTGGCGACAAGCCTGCCGCTCCCATGCCTCTTGCCGCCGCTCGGACGTCCATTTCCCGTGCATTTTTGTCGGCTTCGTGCGTGGTTCTATCGCTCCATGGTCCAGGATGGCCCTCGATGGATGGTTCTCGCCGAAGGAAAAAATGCACACGCCCGAGCGACGCCAAGGCCTTGCCCGAGGCGCACCGCTGCCTGGGAAAAAGCCGCGCGGCCCCTCCTCCTCCTCCTCCTCCTCCTCCTCCTCCCCCTCCCCCTCCTCCTCCGCCTCCTCCTCCTCCTCCTCCTCCTCCTCCTCCTCCTCCTCCTCGTCCTCCCCCTCCCCCTCCTCCTCCTCCTCCTCCTCCTCCTCCCGTCGGGCTGCCGCCGCGGCCCCACGGCTCCCCCCCACCTTGCTGTCGATGCAGCCGCCGCCAGTGCTCGCCCGGCGCGACCGGCCGCTCTGGGACCGCGCTCTGCACGGGGCCTGCGCGGGCCGCGTCGCCCTCTTCCGTATCGGGGGGGGGGGGGGGGGCGCAACGGCCACCGGCAACACCACGATACGCGCGAGATCGGCTCCTCATCCTCCTCCTCTGCCTCCTCCTCCTCCTCCACCTCCTACACATGCTCCTCCTCCTCCTCGTCCTCCTCCTCCTCCTCTTCCTGCTCTTCCCTGCTCTTCCCTGCTCGTCTTTTCTTCCTCCTCCTCCTCGTCCTCCTCCTCCTCCTCCTCCTCCTCCCCCGCCTCCGCCCCCTCCTTTTCCTCCCCCTCCTCTTGTCACTCCTCCCCTCCGCCTCTCATCTCCGTCCTCCACCTCCTCCTCTTTCTCCTCCTCCTCCTCCTCCTCCTCCTCCTCCTCCTCCATCTCTCATCCCGGCTTCTTCCTCCTCCTCCTGGGGGGGGGGGGGGGAGGCATCGATGCCCCCTCTCCATGGACGGGGGGGACCGTAAGGCCCGAGTTGGTCGTCGAGCTTCAGCGGCACCGTGCCGCTGAAGCTCGTGCCGTCGGCGCGAGCACAGCAGGCCAGCGTTGGGGCGCTTCGAAGTAGCGCGAGCCCTCCTCCTGTCGTGCCAGGCTCGGAGCGGCCCTGCCTCGCGCTCTCACTGGGTGGTGGGGCCCCGATGGGGCCCGACCGGAAGGTCCTGGGTCGCGGGCGAAGTAATGCGGGATGACGATTAATACCAAAAATGGGAGAGAACGATTAAATAAATAGTTTTCTGCTATTTCTGCACAACTTTCTGCCTGGAGGACAACGATTAATCAAATAGTTTTCTGGCCCACGGCCGGTTTTTTCTAATCGTCATCCCGGGCGCCGCCGCGTGAACACGAGGGGCAAGGAGGGCAAGCGGAGAGGGTGGGGGAGGGGGAGGGGGGAAGTGGCAAGCTAGGTACGTTCGCGTCGCATCTGACGACGTCCTACCCCTCCCTCCCTCCCATACCTTACCATTGCGTGGATCTCCTTTCTGTTCGCACAGCCAGATGCCGAGCAGGGCAATATTCCCGAGAGAAAACGCGATGCATGGTATGGCACAGCATAGCATGACATCGCGTCCAGAACGCGACTCATTCAACAACAAGGTCAGAGGGAAATCAGAAATGACACAGGACGGGAAATGCAAATGGACGGTTTCTGAATGCGGGAAGCAGTAAATGAGATCAACGCAGCAGCGGGAGCACGATTTCGGAGGACCGAAACCGTGGAAATGAGACCAGCGCTGCAACGGGAGCACGATCTGGAAGGACTGGAAGAGCGGAAACGAAGCCAACGCTGCAGCAGGATTACGATCTGGAAGAACCGAAACCATGAAATGAGGTCATCGCCAAAGCGAGAACATGACTTGGAAAGACTGAGAACAGGAAAATGGAGACAACGAAGCAGCCAGAGCACCAGTCTAACAGGACTGAAAATGATCGGATTCGACAAACATTGATTCATTGTTGTTGTTTTTTTTCGACGTCCAGATTGTCGTGGCCTCTCAAACAGAACGCTGTGTGCAACTCGGCGGCATCCTGTGTGCAACCAAGACTGCGCGGAGGAGGCCAGGACACCTCACCGGCGTCTCAGGGAGATAGAGAGAGAGGATAGTAGTAAGTTCTCACATTGTGTACTTCTACGACCGCCCTGCGGGCGATAAGGAGGTTGGGGGGGGGATTGACATCACATGCCCACCCTGACTGACCTCCAGCCTGTCACCTTGATCTCATCTCTCTCTTTCTCTCTGTCTCTCTCTCTCCCTCTCTCTCTCATATTGTATATTGTACTGTGTATTGTACAAAACTTGTAGAGGGGTGGGGGACTGCTCGTTGGACTGCTCACGCGGTGGAAAAGGCCCCTCGGAGCCGTGGACTGCCCCACCACACGGCAAGCCCAGGGAGGCGGGGGGACGCGGGGAAGGTGGAAGAAGCCAAGAAGAGGACGAAGGAGGCGTCCGGAGGAGAAGGAGGAGGGAGGAGGAGGAGGAGGAGGAGGAGGGGAGGAGGAGGAGAGGGAGGAGGGAGGAGGAGCAGGAGAAAAGGAGAGAGGCCTCCTAGATGGGGTTCGAGTAGATGGGGTCGGAAGTTCGTGCCGCATCGCCACTGCATCAGCGATACATCGGCAATGCATCGGCGATGCATCGGCAATGCATCGTCGACGTCGGCGACGCATCGGCGACGTCGGCGTGGAGAAAATCGGGCTCCGCATCGAGCCGCATCGTCGATGCATCGGCGATGCGGCGCGGTCCTCCGACCCCCTCTACTCCGACCCCATCCAGGAGGCCCAGAAAGGAGCAGGGAGGAGGAGCAGGAGGAGGAGGAGGAGAAAAGGAGGCGAAAAGGAGGAGAAAAGGAGAAAGGAGGGAGGCGGGAGGAAGGACTGCTCATTGGACTGCTTGTGCGGTGACCAGGCCCCCTCGGGGCCATGGCCCCTCCGCGAGCGCCGCCACCCTGGGTCTGTGGGCCGACGCCGTCATGGCCGGCGTGCCAGCGCCTTGGGGGCAGGCTCGAGGCCCTCCCCAGACATGATCGCGTCCTCCTCCTCCACCTCCTCTTCCTCCACCTCCTCCTCCTCCTCGTCCTGCTCCTCCTCCTCCTCCTCCCTCCCTCCTCCTCCTCCTCCTCCTCCCTCCTCTCCTCCTCCGCCTCCTCCTCCTCCTGCTCCTCCTCCTCCTCCTTTTCCTCCTCCTCCTCCTCCTCCTCCTCCTCCTCCTCCTCCTCATCCTCCTCCTCCTCCTTCTCCCCAGACATGATCGCGTCGTAACAAAACTCAGGACGGGAAGTTTTGCCAGTTTTCGGCCTCGGGGGGCCCTCGCCGGGCCTCGGGACCGTCAAGAAACGACTCGGGATGAAACACCGGTCCCGGGGCAAGGGTCGGGACTTCCAGGGACCCCGTACTGCAAAAAAACAGGACATCGCATGTCTGGGTCTAGATGGGGTCGGAGCAGATGGGGTCGGAGGATCGCGCCGCATCGCCGATGAATCGGCGATGCATCGGCGATGCACCGGCGATCTCTCCGCGACGTCGGCGCTGCATCGGCGACGACGGCATTGCGCAAATCTGGCTTCCAATCGAGCCGCATCGGCGATGCATCGGCGATGCGGCGTGCTCTTCCGACCCCGCCTGCTCGGACCCCACCTCGGAGGCCTGGAGGCCAGCCCTGGCTTGCGCCTGGGGTGGACGGCGTGCAGGTCGGGCGGGTGCGGCTGGCGCCGCGTTGCCCCCCGGGCATGCCCTAACGTTATGTCTAGCGTGTCCCCCTACAGGAGGATTTTCGACGAAAAATAAAAAATACCCCAAACATGCCCCAAGAAGGTCAAAAAATATTCAAAAAATAGTCCCCATACTATTTTCTAATATTTTGGGGCTATTTTTGGGATATGTCGTATTCTTCGTCGAAAATCCCACTGTAAGGGGACAGGCCCGACACAACCCTAGCGCTGGGCGGGCCCCGCAGCGGCCCGCCCCCTCGAGCGGGCTGCCCCCGCCCCCGAGGGCGGGTGGGCGGGGCGGGCTCGGCCTGCGAAGGAGCCCCCGCGGGCAGCCCGAAGGCTCCCGCACGGCCCTCGCGAGGGCGAAGCGGAGAGAGAGAGAGAGAGAGACGTTATGTTGCACCCTCGGACAGAATTCAGAGGAGGGGAGGAAGACGTTCATAGGAGGAGAGAGACGTTCAGAGGGGATGAATCGGACAGGGAGGCGACCACGACATCGCTCGAGTGACCCGTGCACTCTGTCCCGTCGCGGCCCTGTCCGCGTCGAATGCGTGTCAAGTCCCTGTCGGACTCGTCGGGTCCGTGTCGAAGACGCGTCCAATCGGCATCGACTCCGCGCCAGATGCGCGTCGAGGTCGCACAAAGCCCGCGCCGGGCGCAAGGAAAGACACCAATTTGGGGGACAGGCGAGGTTTTTCGAATATGGAATACGAGGGAAGCAGACCCCATCTAGACCCAGACATGCGACGTCCAAATGCTTTTCAATACGGGGTCCCTGAAAGCCCCGACCCCTGCCCCGGGACTGGTGTTTCATCCCAAGCCGTGTCTTGACGACCCCGAGCTCCGGCGAAGGCCCCCAGAGGCGGAAACGGGCCAACAATCTCCTGATTTCTGTTACGGCGCGATCATGTCTGGGTAAATTTGGTCGACCAAAAAGGGGGGTCCAGCTGAAAGGAGCTGGTGCAAAAGATGTTGGGCGATTGCACTGCACATGTATTGCGCCGGAGAATTGTACTGCATTGTACTGCAAATCTTTTATTGCATGCGGAAATCCAACAATACACTTGCGCCCCGAAATGTGTTGCAAGCCCCAAATCTACTGCGCCCCCACGAACCTATTGCACCACCCCCTTGTCGCTGGACCCCCCTTTGGGTCAACCAGAGTACTTATAGGAAGCAGATGAGGGAGGGGGGGCAGACGAGCCCCTGGCCCTTCCCAAAGGCCCCCCGTCCGGGAGCCTCTGCCGGGGGGCCCAGTTGCCGTGCACCCGCGCGCTCCGGGCCAGAGGACGACGGACGGAGATGTGAGGAGGCGACGAGGGCGACCCAGACATGATCGCGTCGGACAAAACTCAGGACGGGAGGTTTTTGGCTCGCTTCGGCCTCGGGGGGCCCTCGCCGGGCCTCGGGAGCGTCAAAAAACTACTGAGGATGGAAAACCGGTCCCGGGGAAAGGGTCGGGACTTCGAGCGACGCCGTCGGAGGACGACGAGGAGGGCGGCGACCACGACAGAAGCGAGAGAGGACGACGAGGGCGACGAGGAGCGAGGACAGGGGCGTCCATCCCCAGACATGCAACGTCCTGATTTTACCAATACGGGGTCCCTGAAAATCCCGACCCTTTCCCTGGGTCCGGTTTTCATCCTGAGTCGTTTCTTGACGGTCCCGAGGCCCGGCGAGGGCCCCCCGAGGCCGACCGAAACCGGCCAAAAACCTCCCGTCCTGCTTTTGTCACGACGCGATCATGTCTGGGTCGGCTCGCCCCTCCTCGCCCTCCCCCGCATGAAGCACGCACGGAGGGGGAAGAGGAGGAGGAGGAGGAGGAGGAGGAGGAGGAGGAGGAGGAGGAGGAGGAGGAGGAAGGAGACGAGGGAGGAGGAGGAGAAGGAGGAGAAGGAGGAGGGGCAGGAGGAGAAGGAGGAGGAAAAGGAGGAGGAGGAGGAGGAGGGGGAGGGAGAGAAGAAGGAGGAGGAGGAGGAAGAGGAGGAGAAGGAGAAGGATGAGGACCTCGTCGCCCATGTCCCGATTTTTGTTACGACGCGATCGTGTCTGGGGTCTCGAGGCGGAGGGAGGCGCGGCAGAAGGGCGGGGGGCGCCCAGGGGGGGCCCAGTGGGGGGCGCGCCTGCATGGAAGCCCGCGGGGAGGCACGGCTGTGCTTAAGTCGGGCGTGTCCGTATGTTGTTCCCATCCTACTCAAAGACCACATCCCAGAAATAATTTCGAGCAACTGGAAAAATGTCAAAAGAGTGTCGAAACAGTGTCGAAACAGTGTCGGCCGAGTGTCTCCCAGGGCCTGGCACGTGAAAACCCTTGAGTTTCGGTACTTTTCTGGGGCGCTCGAAATTCTTCCTGGTGATCGAAGCCAAAGTAGGTTGGAGCATCATAAGCGTGTCCCCCTACAGGGGGATTTTGGGAGAAAAATAACAAATACTCCAAACACATACCCCCCAAGTGGGCAAAAATATACAAAACATCGTCCCCTGACAATTGTTTGACTATGTTTGAAGTTTCCCCCTGTACGGGGGACAGGCCCGACTTAAGGCCGTGCCCGGTTAGAAGACTCGATGATCCCCAGAACGTGTGTTAGCCCCAACGTGCGTTTGTCCCATCGAGGCCCTTCCATACGACGCAGGCGATGCAATGATCTACTGGTTGGGCTGAAGGGGGTAACACACACATTGGGCTAACACGCGTCCTGAGGATCATCGAAAGACGGGGGCAGGGGTGTCCACCAGAGCCCTGGACGCGATCGCCTGCCAGGAGCTCAAGCTCCGCCGCTCACCGTGAACAGCGCTCGCCGATTCTGCTCAGACATGCAGCCCCAGACATGCTCATGCCCGCACCGCAATGCAAACACGACGGGAAGTTTTTGGCAATTCCCGGCATAGGGGGGGGCCCGCTGGGCCTCGGAGCCGTCAAAACACCACTGCGGACGAAAAACTGGCCCTGGGAAAAGAGTCGGGACCCACATGGTGTGCGCGCATGGAAAAATTTGAAGGTATCACATGTCTGGGGCGCCGGTGTTTCGTGCAATGAAAAACGCGTTCACCTTGTTTTTGTCCGCGCGGGCCCGCGCGGCTGCAGGGCTCGTCCTGTGCACCCCCCCGCCGGCTGAGGTGCCGAGTGGGTGGGCGCGGCGGCCGCGGGCGCCTGGCGCGGGGAAGGGAGGGGGGGACCTCGGAGGAAGGAGGGGTCGAGGATCGGGGAGGCTCAGATAGCTTAGAGCATGTGGAAGGACTGAGTGGGGCAAAAACAGCAGATGTGCTGAGCAGCATATCCATACAGACGCCGCAAAATTTCACAAAAAGGGCGCCAGCATGCCTACCCTGGACGCACCCGCCCTGGACTGTACGCTGTGGCTCGATCGCGCCATCATTGAAAGTTCGGGTGGAAGGGCACGCCATGAGCGCGTCACCGGAGCTTCCTCAGGATGGCCGACATTTCCTCACAATCGCCGCCAAGCTGAGCGATGTCGCACTTGTAAAACTGTCGGATGCTGTCCAATGAGCGGAGCTCCCACTTCGAGACGAGGTTCACCGCGAGCCCCCTCAGGCCGAAGCGGCCAGTGCGGCCGATGCGGTGCATGTACGTCTCCATGTCGGGCTCGCCCCTGCGGCCCTTCGCTGGGAGCTCGTAGTTCACGACGAGCGTGACCGCAGGCACGTCGATGCCGCGGGCGAGCACGTCGGTGGAGATGAGGACCTTGGTCACGCCGCCCCTGAACTCCCTCATGACGCGATCGCGGTACGAAACGTCGACCCTCTCTGGGCCGGAGGCCTGTGTGCCGCAGAAGAGCGACACTGCGTGGCCCTCCGCCTTCATCTGTTTGGCGAGGACGAAGGCCTTCTCTCTGGTGTTGACGAAGACTATGCTCTGCCCGATGTTCAGGGCCCCGTACAGGTCGAAGAGCTGCTGGGCCTTCCTCCTTTCGTCGTCGCCAGTGTCTATGTACGTCTGGGTGATCGTGTCCAGGGTAAGATTTTCCTTCTGAACCTTGATGACGTTCGCCCTCGGCACCATCTTCTTGGCGAAGCGCTCGACGTGCTCGGGCCAGGTGGCGGAGAAAAGCAGCACCTGGAGCTCCTGTGGCATGAGCTGTCTGATTGCCAGGACCTGCGCACCCATCATGTTGTCCTCGTCTATCATGACGTCCGCCTCGTCCAGCACGAAGCACCTGAAGCCGCGGGGCTCGATCACCCGCTTCTTCATGAGGTCCTGAACTTTCCCGGGCGTGCCGACTACAATTTGAGCATCCACCTTGCGGGGCGGCCGCTCTTCTTTCGGCACGGCGAGGTACAGCTTTATACCTGTGAACTTCCCCAGCTTCTCGACAACATCGTGATTCTGTGACGAGAGCTCGCGCGTCGGGCAAACGCACAGGCCCTGCGGCGCCCTCAGCTGGGCGTCCACCGCGAGAAGCATCGCCAGCGCAAAGGCCGCCGTCTTGCCGGAGCCGTTCTGGGCCTGGCCGATGATATTACCGCCGCCAACCGCAATGGGTAGCGCCCACTCCTGGATCTTCGAGGGCTTCACGAAGCCCATGTCGAAGATTCCGTCCAGCACCTCCTTCGGGAGGTTCAGGTCGGTCCAGGAGGTGGCCGCGAGGTAGGTCGCGGTGGGATCCTCGTGCTCCACGGTGACGACGGCCTTGCTCTCGCCCGTGAGCCCCTCCCAGGCGGGCCAGCGGCCCGCGTCGGCGCCACCCGCGGCGGCGGCGGCTCGCGCGGCACCAAAGGGTCCGACGGCGGGCCCGTCCTCGAAGCCGGGCGGCAGCGCCAGCGGCTCCTCGCACGCCGGCGGACCCGCAGGCGCGGCGTCCACCGAGGCCGCCGCGAGGAAGGCCTGCAGCTCCTTCAGGTCGTTCTCGTCGATCACCTCCTCGCCGTCTCCGGCGGGCACCTCCGCCATCCGCCCGCCCCGCCCCACGGGCAGCCCGCCGGGAGGCCGAGGAGCCACACCCTCGAGCCGCAATGGCTGTATACGGTATACAGCAGGAGCGCGGTCTCACCGGTGGGCGGCGCAGCGGCGGCGGCGAAGGCACCCGAGCAGATCGGCAGGGTGCACACGCTTCTCTGCAGGGGCTCCGGGCGCCCACGATCGCGTGCGCACGCGATCGCGCCAGCGGGCGCGGCGGCATCGGCACTAGCCAAGCCTCCCCTCAGTGAAAACGGCCGGGGGCCGAAGCCGACGGACCTGGGCCCGCAAAAATGACGACCGCGACGCCCTCTCGCGAACCGAATACGGCCAACTCCTCAATCGACGTGTCAGGGCAGGAGGTCTATCAACCTCCGAGCCCCTGCACCGCATCGTGTTCCAAGACCCCCTCGACTCGCGAGACAAGAAGCGACGGGAAGCTTTCTGCCGTCGGTTGGGCCTCCAGGGGCTGGGCCCCGAGACCACCAAACGTACAACCCAGGATGAAGAGCCAGCCCTGGGGACGGGGTCGAGACTTCCGGGGGTCCAGGCTGCGAAGAAAAATCACGTCAGGGCGCGAATTCATGGGGGGGCGATACATGGAGGGGGGGAGAAAGGTGCAATTTTTCGGACCCTAAAGAGCCCCTTTCGTTTTATCGCTGCCCAGCACGTCGTCGACTATCTGGGTCCGGGTTCGTCTCCCTTCAGGCCCCGCTCCAACCTGGTACTGCGAGTAGTCTTGGGCCCTGGGGGCCTGGTGTGCACCGAACCATTCCTGGGCCGAGGATCGACGACGCATCGGCAGGATCGTACCACACAGAAGCGTGGCAAATCAATTGCGGTCACCACTGGTCTGATGGCAGACCGCCAACAGTGCCATCAGTGGAACGTTGTGGCTAATCGCTCCCCGCACAGGCGCCCCAAAGACGTCCATCCTGCATATCGCGCGCGAAGAGTGACACTTCGTAGCTTTGCGGCCTGCCTTGAAGCGGTGTCTTGTCGCGAATGCTGTGCCAGCCGAACACCCACCTGCTTACTCTGGTCATTCGGCCCCTTACAGAAGCACTCGGATGGGCTGGCGGCTGGGAGCAGAGATCCAGGAGGCCTCAAGAGTGTCTCTACCCAAGCCTTCGCAGGCCAACTTTCAGTACTGCGCTGCGGCACCGAGGTGCTGCCCCCGAGGACCACACATGTGCGCCATTATTCGTTGCACCTTGCACAGGCTCTGCAAGTTTAATAACCACCAGGGCAACGCAAACGTGATTCAGGCAGGGTCGGCGTCTCATCCCAAGTAGTTCTTTGACACGTTCCAGGAACAGGGAAGCGACTGGCAGGATGCCGAAGGAGTCCAAAAGCCCGCCGTCACGATTATGTCGCCCACGCGTAAGATCTGGTCGGGCATCGGCATGTCCCCCTCCAGGCGGATTTTGGGCGAAAAAACAAGAATAGTAAAAACAAATACTCCAAACATACCCAAAAATACAAACAAAAAAAACGTTCCCTGTTGACTAGTTTTGAATTCCTCCTGTAGAGGGACACGTCCGACTTGAGCGCAAGAGCGACCCTTGGCAAGAGTGACCTGGTGCGCGGCTGCAGGGAGCGGCGTGGGGGTGGGGCAGATCCGCGCGCGCAAGCCTCTGCCAGGGGACCCCGCACCAATGGTCACTCCAGCGAAGGGTCAACACATGTGGGCATCGTTTCACCGACACCTATCCCCATGAACGTGGCCTGGGGTCACTCCAGCGAAGGGTCAACACATGTGGGCATCGTTTCACCGACCCCTATCCCCATGAACGTGGCCTGGGCCGCAATGGCCGATTGACCCCCTAGATGGGGATAAGGCCGTTCCCTTCGGGCTTCGAGGAGTGTGTCCCCAGCTGGGGTGCAAGGATGCTGGGGGTCCGGATGGGGATGGGGATGGGGATGGGGATCGGCTCAACGATACCGAGCATGGCCGATGATGTGGCGTCGCCTGGATACTGCAAGGAGGAGCCGACCGGAACCGCATCGCTTATAGTCCGCGGAGGCCCGCCGGCCCGGCTCCGCCGCGTTCCGGGCCGTCGCCGCAGCTCCGTCGCCGATGCGGGCAGCGCTGCAGAAGCCCGAGAGAGGCCCTGGAGCGGCAGCTGTCGGCGGGCTTCCAGAGCGTGTGCCCCCTGGTCGAAAGGACAATCAAGCCTACACGGATGCTGATGCCTTCTGTGGGCTACAGTCGGTCCGGACTAGTAGGTCGACCCTGCCAAATCAAGGGTAGTGTCCTGTGTCTCGCGACCCATGCCTCCTGCATTCCTATGGCAATGTGGCCCTCGGAAGGGTCTTGTGTCCTCTCGCGTGTCCTGTCCAATCAAGGCCGACTGTATGCGCGGGTACACGTCGTTCATCTCTAATCGTGTTCATGTCTAGTTGTGGTCGTTTCCTAATTGTTCCTGGCCCCCTAGTGGCCAGGAAGAGGCACAGGACAGCATAATGAGAAATGAAAGGATCTTGGCCCCCCAAAAAATCATGGAACTCTCGAAGAATTAGACATGATGGCAAGGCGGAGCATGTCTGAGTCCGTCCGTCCGGCCGAAGACGGGGCCCCGACCGCCCGTCGTTTGTGCCTTCACGGCACGAGCATGTCTCAGTCCCGCCATCCCTCGCCCGCCTCCTCCTCCCTTGAGCCCGCCTCGCTGATCGGCTCGCGGCGGGGGCCGACAACAGCCAGGACCACCCGCTGTTGATTTTTCCACAGCGCGAGCATGTCTGGGTCCCGCCTTCCCTCGCCCGCCTCCTCTTCCTTCGAGCCTGCCTCGCTGATCGGCTGGTGGGCAGCACCCGCGAAGATCTCGCCACGGGCCCAGCCGCGGGGGCCGCTGGGCGACGCCTAGAGTGGGGGCTTTCTGGTTGACGTCGAGGGCCATGATGATCAGGAGGAGGGTGGGAGGAAGGGAGGAGGAGCGAGGGAGGAGGAGGGAGTCTTCAGACGTTTGCGTGCAGGGCTGTGGGGAGAAGGAAGAGGGAGCCGGAGGAGAGGACCGGGACGGAGGAGGAGGGGGAAGAGGAGGAAGGAGCGGGAAGGGGGAGGGAGGAGGGCCCTCATCCTCCCCACCCCCTTGCCTTCATTCGGCTATGCGCAAGAGCGCCCCCTACAGGCCAGAGGGATCTCTGGTCGGTACTTACGCGGCGCTGCCGGGGGCAGCGGGGAGGCCAGGTCCGAGCGTGTAGGCCAGGCCCGTGCTGCAACGGCGCGATCCGTTTGTCACGGCGTGGGCGCCGAGAGGTTTGGATTTTTTTTTTTTTGGATTAGGTCGGGCGTGTCCTCCTACAGGCGGATTTCGGACGGCCAGACATGCCCAAACATGGTCAAGCATACTGGCCAAGAACTCGTCCCCAGACTATTGCTGGACTGTTTGGGAATTAATGCTCCTCCTGTAGAGGGGCATGCCCGACTTAAGGTTTTGGACCCTTTCCCGGGGCACGGCTCTTCATAGGGGAACACAAAATGGCATAAACATACAAACTCGGAGGTTCGCGCAGATTTCTCGGATCGGCGCAATACCCCCCTCCCTGGCGCGCGGAGCGCGCCAGGGGCGGCGCCGGAGGCGCCGCCAGGGGGGTCCAGCACGGATCCGAGAAATCCGCGCTGACATCCGAGATGTTATGTTTATGTCATTATTTGTTCCCCTACTTTGTCCCGCGAGCTGTTCTCTCGCGGCCCCCTGGGATCGGCAAGGGTGCAACAACAACTAGACGCGTCGTGCATTTGTTTTCACGACGAGGGCATGTCTGGGAAGGCCGAAGGCTTCGACTTCCTGCTGTACATCGGGGAGACGTAAGACTCGGGTACGGGGGACTCGGGTTGGCCTGACGGGGCCATCATCAAAATGACGAGACCCAATCTGAAATTTGACACGAACTCCCACTACAAACATCCCACGAAAACAGGTTCGTCAAAATCCAGGACGCGCTGCTAAAAAAACGTCGGCTAACCCGAATCCCGGCGTACTCGAGTCTTGCGTTTCCCCGAGTACAGTGGAGGCAAATCCACACGAGACCTTCCACAAAAGAAGCCCAAGCCTGAGACCCCAGGGCGTCCACGGAATCCTTGAGCTTCCTGGCATGGGTCTCCTGCTGCACCTGCACTCCGCCGGCACTCGTGCACACGGGCTGCAAGTCCTCAGCGTGGCTCCCCGCTCGGGGATCTTCTGACCCGGGTCAATCCAGACCCGGGTCAGCAGGAAACCAAAAAATGCAATGCAGGAAAAAAAACTGCATCGCAGATCTTCGCAAACCCGGGTCAGCCAATACGCGCGGCCGCCTCGCGGCCCGCTAGCCCGGGTCAGCCAGAGGGGGTCTTCGCAGGACCCTGCAGAAGCTGGTGCCCTGGCTGACCCCCGTTTGCATTGACCCCCGTCTCAAGGCTCCCGACCCGCCCTCCAGGCCTCCCCGCTGGCGCCCTCCCTGCCGCCTTGCGCTCCCTCGCCCCCCTGTGCAGACCCGTGCAAGCTCGACCGCGACGGGTGCGGTGCGAAGCCGGCCGACGAAAAAAGCCACAGTCGGGCCACGGCCAGGAGAGCCCCTCTCGAGAACCTGGGGGGCCCTCCGTCGGCCACGACGCTGAGGGCAGCCTTAAGGGCCCCCCCCCCCAGGATGCACAAGACCATCCAACAAGCATGAGGTCGGGCGTGCTCCCCTACAGGGGGGATTTTAGGCGAAAGATTCAAAATAGTCAAACAATACTCCTAAATAGTCAAAAAATTATAAAGAAAATAATCCCCAGAGCATTTTTTGACTATTTTTGAATACTCCCCCTGTAGAGGGACAGGCCCGACTTCAAACAAGCACGAAAAGACGAAGGAGCCCTCCCCGAACCGACTTCGAGGCTGTAGGGAAGGTCGCTCCCGCGGAGGGTCTGGTCCCTCCTGCGGGCACCCGCGCGGAGACGAGCCCCTGCCGGGCGGCCCGGCGCCTGGGGCGCCCTGCGGCCGACGTCGAGGGACTTGCCGCCGGAGGACATGTGCGTCGCGCCCGACCTGGCCGGAGAGGGGTCCGTAGCTGAGCGGGGGCAGAACCTACCAGCATTCCTGTAGGCCTACCACGACGTGTCCTCGAAACCCTAACCTGTTCTTACAACGAAAACGAAGCTCTTGCGACAGAAACCCGATGTGCTGAAACAGGGCAATCCCCACCAGAAAGGCTCTGAGAACATTGCGTGCAGACCACAAAAGGTTCTCAGACCATTCTCTTGGGGGCCTATAGGTGGGCCCAGACGCTTCGCCACTGCTTGACAACGGGTGGTCTGTAGACGTTTTCGACCTCCAGGGCCCCTCGCCCCGCCACGGGGCCGCCCAACCAAAACCCAAGGAGGGGCCACAGGAGGCAACTTCTGGAGGGCCTCCGTGGGGCCGGAGCCTGGCTGCGGAGCCCCATGAGGGGGCCGCCGAATCAGATCAGCCCAGATCAAGCCCGGGATCACGCCAGAGTAGGGGAACGAAGAATGACATAAACATTAAAAACTCAGAGGTCCGCGCGGATTTCTCTGATATTTTTTAGTCAGCGGCCGCGGGCGAGCGCGCCAGCGGCGAGTCAGGTCAAAGCGGGCTACGCAGAGACAAAATTAGGCAGAGGAAACGCGGGAAAAACAGACCAGGGCAACGCGCGAGGCGACGGCTAAGCGCAATTTCTCGGATACGCGCTGGACCCCCCTGGCGGCGCCTCCGGCGCCGCCGCCTCCGGCGCCGCCCCTGGCGCGCTCCGCGCGCCAGGGAGGGGGGTGAAGTGCCGATCAGAGAAATCCGCGCGGACCTCCGCGCATCTATGTTTCTGTCGTTGCTCGTTCTCCTAATCACGCCAGAGGTGGCCAGACTGAGCAGAATTGGACGGACTGGTGCTTGATTGTGCCGGAGGGAGCTTGTTGACAACCACGAACACACCATGGCCGGTGTTGGGGCAACCTCCCAGAGGTTGCACCCGAAGATCAGCTCACGTCGTGGCGACTCGCTCGCTGGCTTCTGGGACCGCGCGGACCGCTCAGCCATGAGCGGTCGCGGCCTTCCGCTCGCGTATGGCCGTCAGATTTGAGCAGCGTCCGACCGCCCCAGCAGTCCAACAGGCCTACCACGACATACGAAATGCTCCTGTAACCCCCAAGCTGTTCGAACAACCAAACAATGGTCTAGTGCTAGTGCAAGGCAGGCTCAACCAATAATGCTCTCAAAGCACTCCGTGCAAACCAGAAGTAGTGGAATTAAGAATGACATAACATACCAACTCGGAGGTCCGCGCGGATTTTTGTGATACGCGCTGGACCCCCCTGGCGGCGCCTCCGACGCCGCCCCTGGCGCACTCCGCGCGCCAGGGAGCGGGGTCCAGCGTCAATCCGGGAAATCCGCGAAGCCCTCAGACTATCTGCACGCTTATGTCATTGCTCGTTTCCCTAACATGGGGGGCAAAGTAACCTACCTCGCTTTTGACCACCATCGCTTCCAAGAGATACCAAGCGATGCCAAACTACGGCCTGTACTGGTCAGGCCGCTGGACGAGGAGGCGCGTGGTATGACTTGGTTTTGCCTGGAAGCGAAAGCGGGGTAGGTAATTCACGCTCTGATAACAAGCGGTTCTCAGAACATCCTCTGGTGGGCCCAAAAAGGCAAGCCAGGCCGCCTCGTCACTTCTTGGCAGATGTCGGCCGACGCCCGGCCACTGGCGGCGCTCCGCGCTGCCAAGAGGCCAGGGCCGCCGGCGCGCCGACAGGACCCTCGAGCCTACCATATACTCGCCATCGCTCGGACGTCCATTCCCTGTGTTTTTTTCGGTTTCGTGCGTGGTTCTTTCGCCAAATGATCAAGGATGCTCCTCGATGGTCCTCGCCGAAGGAAACATGCACACGTCCGAGCGATGCCAAGTATGAAACCTGGGGCGTCTGCGGACCTTGTCTGCCCCGAGATGCAACAAACCACAGGCAGCGCCTTGGCACGGAAGTCAACAGGTAGACTGCAAGCGCACGTTTGGCGCGACGCGTTCGCCCCCCACACGTGGGCCAGCGCGCCGAGCCAAACACGCAGCGCCGTGTCAGCACGGACGCTTTGAGCACGGCACGTGCTGCGTTCCAAAGCGGGCGAACCAGGGCAGCCAGGCTGCGGATACGATGCGCTTGCGGATGCCACGACAGTGGACGCTCGAACAATCCTACCATTGAGTGAAACATGTGTGTACATGTGCAGAGCATGTTCTATAAAAAAGGTTCCAATGATATTTATACTATTTAAAACAAGTTTCAAAGATGTCTTTACAAATTTAAAACATGCTTGAAACATCTTTCAGACATCTGGCAATGATTTGGCAGCACGCTTCCTCTCCATTAACCGGCTTCCACAACGAGCAGCAGAAGGCGGTTTGTTTTCTTTCTGTTGCTGGCAAAAGCGTGCGCGGCAGGCGCGGGCACCGACGCCCGGCGCGGAGCTCTCCCTAGAGTCGGGCACCCTGGGAAGCGCAGGGCGAGGCGGAGCGCAGCCAGCCCCGCGAAGGCGAAGTCCCCCGGCGCAGCCGCCGGCGAGGAGCAGACAGCGGCACGAGCAGAAGCCTTCGGAGGTTCGCGGGAGCCTTTTGGGTTGGCGCGGGACCTTCCCGCCCCGGCGCGCGGAGCGCGCCAGGGGCGGCGCCGGGGGCGGCGCTCGGGGGCGGCGCCGGAGGTGGCGCCGGGGGGTCCAGCGCTGATCGAAGACATCCGCGCGGAACTCCGAAGGCTGATGTTCATGTCGTTGCTTCTGTTCTTGGGTCCTCCTGAGAGGAACATCGTGTCATGATGCGACTGGCTCAGGGTGCGTCCCTGGGATTCTGAGGTCCTCTGGAGGCCCGCGTCTGTGGGTCCCGCGGGAAAGGAGAGACAACAACAATAACAACAACAACAATGACACCATCAACATCGTCACCATCATCACCAATAGCAGCACCATCATCATCATCATCATCATCATCATCATCATCATCATCATCATCATCATCACCATCACCATCACCATCACCATCACCATCATCATCATCATCAGTATCAGCAGCGACAGCATCGTCATCATCATCGCCATCGTCATCGTCGTCGTCACTTTCATCGTCATTCACATCATCACTATCATTATAACCATCATCGTCATCCGCATCACCGTCACCATCATCAGCAGCATCATCAGCAGCATCATCACAATCATCAGTATCAGCATCATCAGCAACATCATCAGCATCAGCATCAGCATCACCATCGTCATCATCACCATCACCATCATCATTACCCTCACCATCACCGTCATCATCATCATCATCATCACCAACAGCATCATCACCATCGTCATCATCAGCATCATCATCCTCATCGCCATCCTCACCCTCATCCTCATCGTCAGCATCAGCATCATCATCAGTATCATCATCATCGCCAGTATCAGCATCATCAGCATAATCGATTTCATCGCCACACTCAGCATCATCGCCATCGCCATCATCAGCATCAGCATCATCACTATCAACAACATCATCTGCATTATCATCGTCGTCATCGTCACCATCACAATCACGATCACCATCGCCATCACTATCACCATCACCGTGACCAGCATCCGCATCATCCTCATCATCCTCATCACCATCGTCATCAACAGCAGCAGCCTAACCTCGTGCTTCTCTGATCTCCGCCAGTGCTGGATCCCTTCTCAGGCACAATCCTGGGCGGCGAGCGCCTTCGGCGCCGCCCCCCCCCCACACACAAGAGCCAAGTGCCCCCCCCCCCCCCCGCGATCCGAGCGCGCGCAAGGGAGGCGCGGTGGGAAGGGGGGCGCGGCGCCAGGTGGAGAGGCCTTCTGCGGACGTCCGAAGTGTGTGCTTGTCCTCTTTTTGTTCGCCCCCCCCTGCGACCGCAGGCCCGTGCGGGTGATGTCGCTGAGGTCGCAGACCTTTCGCTGCCGCGCACCCCACATCATGTTCCCGACAGGCTAGGCAGAGGGCACGAGGCAGGCAACTCGGCGATCGCACTGAGCACGGGGCAGGACGGGCGCAAGGGCGGGGGCATGGGGGAGGGCGAGGGTCCGTGGCAGTCGCCTGCATTACAGGCCCGCCCGTGGGGGGGGGTCGTGGTCTGCCTTCCTGTCTCATCCCCCGCTTTTCGTCATCAGCCTCCGCCTGCTGCTCCTGCTCCTGCTCCTGCTCCTGCTCCTGCTCCTGCTCCTGCTCGTTCTGCTCCTCCACCTCCTCTCCCTCTTCCTCCTCCTCCTCCTCCTTCTCCTCCTCCTCCTCCTCCTCCTCCATCTCTTGCTGCTCCGCAGCCTTGCTCCCCCTCCTCCTTCCTTCCAAGCGTTCAACGCAAGCATAAGCATGTCCAGACAGTGCTCGAATGAAAGCAGCCCGCTGCGTGTGAGGCCAGCATCAGACACAGTGGTGGAAGAGAGGATGAGGAAAGGCGACATAGAGCAGAAACGGCATGGAAACGCCACATCTCAAAATCCTCTCCATGGAATGTTGTGTCCGAAGCAGACCAGTTGCTGCACCTCGGGGCACGAGTTGCCCAAGTTCCGGGCGCTAGTGGGGTGTTGCGCGGTTTGTCGCGGACCTCCTGCGGCTTCTGGCGTGGCGTCTCCTGAGGCCAAGGGCTTCTCGTGGGGGGCCCCAAGACTTCTTGCGGCGTCTCGCGTGGCTTCCTGCGGCTTCTCGCGTGGCCATGTCGCAGACTTACTGCGGTTTCTCGCGTGGCTTCTCGCGGGGGGCCGTAGACGGGCTAAGAGGGCCCGATGGAGCCCCCCCGGGACGGTGCTCGAGGGCCCCGAGGCGGCCCAAGGGGGGCTCCAAGACGCCCACAGGTGGCCCCGAGGCGCCCGAAGAGAGCCCCAAGAGGCCGCTCAAGAGGGCCCCGAGAGCGAAAAACAGTGACCCCCTTTCTTGAATCACCTGTTGTGGTTGGGACAGCTCCAAACAATACTCCACCACCAGCCCTGGCCAGGCCCATCCTGGGCCCCTGACTGGTGTACAGGTCCT